TCCGTGTTGATGAGAATCCCGTAAATGGGGGACACGATCTCTGCTTTGACAAGACGTGCCAAGGAAACCGCCTCGCAAAACACGCTGAGGTGGAAAAGTGAAAACGATTCGAATAAAGGCTTGGTCGTAGTGTGATGTCACGCTGCGGAATACGTCAGCAGATTAGATTTGTGTTAATATTATTCTCTCTGTGGCAATACGTGGAAACTTATTTTGCAGAGCCGGACACTACTCTTGGTGTTTACAAACTTTTATGAAGAATTTGGAGGAGGAACCCGCCTTGCAATGCCGAAGACAATCTACGCGTCGGACTCGTCGTCATTAAAGCCTGGTTCAGGGGCTACTGAGGGAGTCCTGTATTAGGTGTGTTCAGGTAGCCGGACTATACCTTCAGCCGGACTCCAGGACTATGAAGATACAAGATTGAAGACTTCGTCCCGTGTCCGGATGGGACTTTCCTTGGCGTGGAAGGCAAGCTTGGCGATGCGGATATTCAAGATCTCCTACCATTGTAACCGACTTTGTGTAACCCTAACCCTCTCCGGTGTCTATATAAACTGGAGGGTTTTAGTCCGTAGGACGACTTCATCATACAACAATCATACCATAGGCTAGCTTCTAAGGTTTAGCCTCCTTGATCTTGTGGTAGATCTACTCTTGTACTACCCATATCATCAATATTAATCAAGCAGGACGTAGGGTTTTACCTCCATCAAGAGGGCCCGAACCTGGGTAAAACATCGTGTTCCTTGCCTCCTGTTACCATCCGGCCTAGACGCACAGTTCGGGACCCCCTACCCGAGATCCGTCGGTTTTGACACCGACAACGAGTCTTTAGGATTTGCAGATCGTCAGCAAGGCAAGTAACACTTTGATCATACCCCTTTATCACCCAGTTTTTATGCATTCGTTTCAACCTTCACACATTGCATGAGTAGGATCTCTTAACATGTGGGTCTGGGAAGTAGTTAATGAGGTAGAACCTATTACCTGTTTTATTATCAAACCCTTGGGAGTTACTTCTACGTTATGCTTATATTGCCATGCTATGCTCGTAGATGTGGTTTGGGTTTGAGTGTATCCATGCCCGATGTGAGTTGTTAATTAATGGTTCAACTTAAGGTGGCAACTTTAATACACATCTGGGTGGATTTCTTGTGGGCACCTGGAGAATCCAGTGTTGTCCTAGGATATCCCGGAGTACCCGTGTGATCATCCTACGGTCCGCCAGCCAGGCTCAAAGGGATCATAAGACTATTCATGCTAGAAACTTCCGTGTGCATCCACAAGCCATTATGGGCTCTGGCATAATTGAGTAAGTTGCGTGAGTTCTTGAAGAGGTGGACTAGCAGATGTAGGGGATTGTAGGTGTACCAGTCCGCCCGGAGTAAAGAGCAAATGCTTCTGAAAGATTGTGTCTCGGTCATCCGTTTCTCAAACACCCTATAGTGCGAGAAATCCAACGGAGGAGATCGAGTCTTGTGGGGAAAAGTGCGCAAACCTCTGCAGAGTGTACATACTAATCATGGTTAGCCGTGTCCCCGGTTATGTACATCTTGAGTATCTGGTTCTTGGATTATCATATGGATCTCATCACTCTAAATTAATTTGTTGGGTTGATAATTACTTTCAATTGGGATTGAGTTGGAGGAACCTTCTCAATATTGTTCAACTACCATGATAGTTAAATAAAATATATTCCTTTGTTGTAGGTAAAAATTGGCTTTTCGCAAAACATATTAACCATACAGCCTCCACCAGCCATATATGCATATAGTGATAATTTTTATATGTTCATTACTCTCCTGTGTTACATTGCCAGCATATTCCATGTGATGACCCATTTTCGGGCTGCAACGTATCATGTTGCAGACTTTTCAGACGAGGAGTAAGGTACGATAGGTCGTTTGTCATGCACTCAGCCATGCCGTTGGAGTTGATGGACTCACTTTATCTTCCAAGCCTTCCGCTGTTATCGTATTAGATGGCCTTAAGCCATATTTATTGTAATAAGTTCTCTCTTGAGACATTCGATGTAATAAGTGTGTGACTGCCACTCTGTTATAAATCCTTCGAGTACTGTGTGTGTCAGCATTACCGATCCAGGGATGACACTGAAGCAAAGAGACTTGACAGTTTGAGGTCGGGTCGCTACAAGCGTAGTTTCCAGCAGGGCTTCGCCAAGCACTACGAAGGATGAGGATGTGGAGAGGTAGGGCTGCGCCGAGGGAGAGAGAGACTCGTGTCCTTGGCTGCCCCAAAACCCCCACTATATATAGGAGGAGGGGAGGTGGCTGCGCCCCCTCTCGGGTTCCCACCCTAGGGGGTGCGGCAGTCCTAGATGGGATTGGAGGGGCGACCAAGAGGGGGAGAGGGGGTGCACCCTAGGGTGGGCCTTTAGGCCCATCTGCGCCTAGGGTTTCCCCCTTCTCCTCCTAGTTGTGCCTTGGGCCTTGGTGGGAGGCACACCAGCCCAGTCAGGGGCTGGTCCCTTCTCACTCTTGTCCCATGCAAGCCTCCAGGGCTAGTGGACCCCCGGAACCCTTCTGGTGGTCCCGGTACATTACTGGTGACACTCGAAATACTTCCGGTGGCCAAAACCTCACTTCCTACATATTATTCTTTACCTCTGGACCATTCCGGAACTCCTCGTGACGTCCAGGATCTTATCCGGGACTTCGAATAACATTCGGTGACCACGTACAAACTTTCCCTATGACCCTAGCATTATCGAACCTTAAGTGTGTAGACCCTACGGGTTCGGGAGGCATGTAGACATGACCGAGACATCTCTCCGATTAATAACCAACAGCGGGATCTGGATACCCATGTTGGCTCCCACATGTTCCACGATGATCTCATCGGATGAACCACGATGTCGGGGATTCAATCAATCCCGTATATAATTCCCTTTGTCCATTGGTATGTTACTTGCCCGAGATTCGATCGTCGGTATCCCAATACCTCGTTCAATCTCGTTACCGGCAAGTCACTTTACTCGTTCCGTAATGCATGATCCCGTGACCAACTCCTTAGTCACATTGAGCTCATTATGATGATGCATTACTGAGTGGGCCCAGACATACCTCTCCGTCATACAGAGTGACAAATCCCAGTCTTGATTCGTGCCAACCCAACAGACACTTTCGGAGATATCCGTAGTGCACCTTTATAGCCACCCATTTACATTGTGACATTTGGCACACCCAAAGCATTCCTACTGTATCCGGGAGTTGCACAATCTCATGGTCTAAGGAAAAGATACTTGACATTAGAAAAGCTTTAGCAGACGAACTACACGATCTTGTGCTATGCTTAGGATTGGGTTTTGTCCATCACATCATTCTCCTAATAATGTGATCCCGTTATCAATGACATGCAATATCCATGGTCAGGAAACCACAACCATCTATTGATTAATGAGCTAGTCAACTAGAGGCTCACTAGGGACATATTGTGGTCTATGTATTCACACATGTATTACGATTTCCGCATAACAAAATTATAGCATGAACAATAGACAATTATCATGAACAAGGAAATATAATAATAACCATTTTATTATTGCCTCTAGGGCATATTTCCAACAGGACGCGCGCCCCCTCCCTCTCTAGTCCGAATTTGACTAGGGAAGGGGGGCCCTTTCCTTCTCCCTCTCCTCCTTCCTTTCCTCCTCCTAGTAGGACTAGGAAAAGGAGAGTCCTACTCCTACTAGGAGGAGGACTCCTCCTCCCCTGGCGCGCCCCAAGGGCCGGCCAGCCTCCCCCTTGCTCCTTTATGTACGGGGGCAGGGGGCACCCTAGTACACATAAGTTGATCATTGATCTTTTAGCCGTGTGCAGTGCCCCCTCCATCATAATTCACCTCTGTCATATTGTCGTAGTGCTTAGGCGAAGCCCTGCGTCGGTAGCTTCATCATCATCGTCATCACGTCGTCGTGCTGACGAAGCTCTCCCTCGACACTCAGCTGGATCGAGAGTTCGTGGGACGTCACCGAACCGAACGTGTGTAGATCGCGGAGGTGCCGTACTTTCGGTACTAGGATCGGTCAGATCGTGAAGACGTACGACTACATCAACCACGTTGTCATAACGCTTTCGCTTACGGTCTACGAGGGTACGCGGACAACACTCTTCCCCTCTTGTTGCTATGCATCACCATGATAGATCTTGCGTATGCGTAGAATTCTTTTTGAAATTATTGCGTTTCCCAACACATGCGTGAAAGAATTTTGCACCCTATGATATGCATGTCATCCATGAACGCAAGTGAAGTCGATATCACATAGACGGCCCATCATCTGCAACTCCGTCATGAAGTTTTGCAGTGGAGGCAATGTGGCCATCAGGCTAGTCAGCCATGGAGATCGTAAATTTTGCTTTATGCACATGTTGGTCAATTTATTGCTGGATTTCTATTTGAAAAAGTACACTGTTAGGTTTTTATTTGAAAGAGTTTCCCGAGGTATAATTCTTGTGACATACAGTTTATATTTTATTAGTTAAATTTATTGGTCAAACATTAGCCCAGAATGAGAGGGGGCGTAATAAATCCGGACAGAGGTAGTAGTTCGTCATGTTCGGCGTGGATTAAGGCCGATCCTAAAACAGACACGGTATCTGCTCAACCACTCCATAGAGAATGATATGGATCGAGGCACCACCAAGTTTCATTGCCAATTCTTTTTGCAGACGATGTATCTGTTATTTAGTTTAATAAAGCTAGCCATGAAGGCCTTCCCGTCAAAAAAAAAGAGAATGATATGGAAGCGGGCCATCTAGTTTTTTAAATGTCCATCTCAATATTCTATATTTCATTAATCTTATGAATGATCAAAGTTTGGCTTAAAATATTAGGAGCCTTAATAAATCTGGACGGAGGTAGTAACAGTTTAACTCTGCCTTGTCTTATGTCCCGATGCATTGGAATCGCTACGGGTTCCTACGGGTCAATAGTTCAATTAATTCCATCGATATCTGTACCCAGGCTGGATAAAATCGCTAGGCAATGCCATCGTCGGTGTCTCCTGCACACCGCAGCTCCTGCTCGGCGTTGACCGCTTTGGCGGCCGCGAGCTCCTTGCTTTTGCCCCACAGAAACGCATAGAGGCCGACGACGACGAGCGCCGCTCCCATCACGCCGCCGAGGTAGACGTCGGTTCCGAGCACGACGGCGTCGACGGCGGTGGTGGCGACGAGCGACAGGGAGTTGAACATGGGAGGGTACACCGGGCCGCGGCGCTCCACCGCCCACGACACGAGCACGAACGTGACGCCCGTGTTGAACACCCCGGAGTAGACCACCGTGGCCAGCTGCAGGTCCCAGCGCAGCGTCCACGTGCGCGCCCATCCATGTCCGTCGCCGGCGGGGGCGAGGACGACCGCCATGGCCGCGGCCACGGCAGACTGCAGGCTGCCCGCGGCGCACGTGAGCGCCGTGGCCCAGTACCGGGACGGGAACACCTTGGCGACCTTGGCCTGCACGACGAACCAGAGCGCGTAGCTGACGCAGCTCCCGCATAGGAACAGCGTGCCGACGGCCATGTCGCGGCCGCCGTGGGGCGAGGCGACGTCGGGGTTGGCGTGGGAGGACTGCCGGAGGTGCGGCAGCAGGAGATGGGTGCCCTTGCAGAGGGTGACGACCATGGTGCCGGCCACGCCCATGACAGCTCCGAGGAGCTTCATCCTACTGGCCCAAGCGACGAGGGAGAGGCGCTCGGCTCGGAGCGCAACGGCGATGATGAAGGTAGCGATGGGGATGAGGTTGAGGAAGTTGACGGCGTAGGCGGCGCTGGTGGCCCGCAGGCCGCAGTAGTACAGCCCCATCGCCAGCAGCACTCTACAAGACGTATACATATATAAGCTTGCGAGAGGAATATTAATATAAATTAAAAATAATTAAGAATGAGTTTATGCACAATATGTACGCCTCTGTGCATCTCAATTCCAGTTATATGTACCCTCCGTCCGAAAATACTTGTCATCAAAATAGATAAAAAGGGATGTATCTGAAACTAAAATACATTTAAATAAATCTTTTTTTATGCATTTGGATGACAAGTATTTCGGGACGAAGGTAATGCTAATTAGCCTACAAAAATGTCTTACATTTCGAGACGGAGGTATTACTTTTCTTCTACTCAGAACAAGATTATGCTTTTTCCCTTAAAACAATGATGTATTTTTTTTCAGATTTGCTGTTTAATTATAACGAAGGTGACTTGTGTCTTTGCAGAAGTTTGCAACAAACGGACAAATCACAAATGCATTTCTAAATATAGAACTGCTGGCTGCGCAAAATACAAGCTAGCTACTACTAGTTGTAAGAATAGATTTTTTGTTAGGGGTAGTTGTAAGAATAGATTGGGAGTGGTCGTAGTGCGAACCCGAGCGTTGCGTTGAGGGAAATCCAGCCCAGCACTCGCAGGTTCACCTTCTTCCACATCTCCCTGCAACAATTTATTTATTTAATTACTATCAAAAAACAATTAGGCAGGAACTTATTAATCAGTGCAAGAAGAACAAGCTAGCTAGGCAGCTAAAGAAATGACCAGGACACATCAGAAAAATGGATGCATGGAAGATACTGTTCGTTCCATATAATGCATGCATGCATCGACGGGAAGAGACGTTATCTCAGTTACTATTAATTACCATCTCTGTTAGATTGCTTACACTGGGGAGTAATATAGAGTAGTAACTTGTCGATGTTACTAGTCTATGTTACTACCTCCATAGTGGGTAGTAACATATTAGTGATATCATAAAAGCGTTCATTTATTAGGCTATAGACTCATTATGCCTTGAAATGTGTGATGTTACAGTAACTAGCTAAGGTGTTGCTTGGATACGTTTTAGTCTCATGACTAAAAGTAGTGGGACTAAAATTTGCTAGCCTCATCCATGCTTGGATACAAATACTAAAGAGACTAAAATCAAGTTAATGAGCATTTATTATCCTTCAAACCACCAATCCAGAACTCGTCTGTGTTAAAGGAGAGGAGTTAAATGAGGAGAGAGATGACTAATTCATATTTTAGTAGGGATACCCCTGACTAAAACATTTTAGTCTCATGACTAGGTTTAGCCCCTCTTAATCAGGGGTGCTTGGAACTTTAGCCTCTTAAAAAAACTGTTTTTAGTCAGACTAAAATAAGTCCCTTGGATCCAAGCACCCTCTAAGTTATCACAAACCCCTCTCTCCTCATTAATTAGCTGCCACATAAATAATTTTGTATTGAAATGTGTGATGTTACTAGTTAAGTTACTCCCATTATGACTAGTCTTATTCGCAGCAATAAAATTTACTAGCATCGCAGTCAGTAGAAGTACGTAGTGCTACTAAGGGCCTGCTTGGATCTAAGGGACTATTTTTAGTCTGACTAAAAATAGTCTCTTTTAGAGACTAAAGTTCCAAGCACCCCTGACTAAAGAGAGGCTAGGACTAGTCTTGAGGCTAAAAAAATTTTAGTCATAGGAAACCTACTAAAATATGTATTAGCCCTCTCTCTCCTCATTTAATTCCTTTCCTTCAACACATGCGAGTTCTGGATTGGAGGGTTTGGAGGATAATCAATGCTCAATAACTTGATTTTAGTCTCTTTAGTATTTGGATCCAAGCATGGGTGAGGCTAGCAAATTTTAGTCCTACTACTTTTAGTCATGGGACTAAAACATATCTAAGCACCCTCTAATTTCATGTGCTCTCACTTAAAGAGGTTAATACGTATTCACAAGAGTAGGTGTAACTTTCCAAATTGACACACGGAAAGAGTAGTACATTAATTAGTGCTGATCTCGTTCGATTAGCAGTTCAGTTGGCGTGTTTAGCGCTAGCTAGCTGTCAGGACACTCACCCAACTAATCAAAACACAGACTAACTGATCCTTGTCCGAACTTTCCAATTCTGTCAAGTGTTTGTCTGGTACTTCCTTTGTAAACTAATATAAAAACATTAAAATTAGTAAAGTAGTGATCTAAACGCTTTTATAGTAGTTTACGGAGGAAGTACATTTCGCCAAAAAAAAAGGTGTTTGTCTTGTACACACACTATTAAGCAGTAGGGCAGGAGTATACATCATTTTCCATATCGGGGAAGAGTGGTACAAGTAATTAGCAATAATGATACACCTACAAAGATCTACAAAGGTTTGCATAACCTTCCAAACTTATTTTCTCTTTCTCCCCTGATTTTAAGTGGGATGAACCCCCTCATCCCCCTATTAACAATTATAATCCTTCACATAAGTTTGTACGTAAAATCTTCAAGTAAACCTTTGTACTTCCAGTGCGTGCGGCCAGCAGTTACCGGTCATGTTCCTACTACTATGTGCATGCATGCATGATCACGGCCGTCCATCCATTGATCAGCACAAATGGAGAGGGTTTCATGCGTGAGTGTAGTGTATGTCTAGCGCTGTCACGAAAACTACCTAATTTGTACGTAATGGCCCCAAAGTTAACAAAAGTAGTCGAATTTGTTAGTTGTGACCAAATGTGTATCGGTGTCAAAAGTTGTATTTCCTCCGTCTCATAATGTAAGAGCATTGGGACAGAGGGAGTACTAGTTTTATAATACAACCTCTGTAACATTTACAGAGGGAGTACATGAACACACGCAATATTTCCGGTGCGTGCGGCTACGTGTTTGCTAATTAAATAGATTGGGTGAATAATATCTATATATGCCTGAATTCTTCCTAGTGCACGAGCACTTTTTCGTCGTCCCGAGCGGCCGGCTCGTGACCGCACGATCCCGCCCGAACGGTCCAGGTGTTTTATCGTTATCCACCCGTATCCACACCCTTCTTCCCTATTCCCCCGCGTCGTCCGCCGCGGTCACCCACACCTCGCGCCAGCCGCCTCTGCTCCAACTTGCGCCGCCCGCCGTTAACCCACCTCTCGAGCGCGGCGGCACCGCTGCCGGTGGACACCGCGGCGTATCCATCCTGTCGGACCCCGTGCTCCTTGATGGGATCGGGTCCTGCTAGCTGAGATCCGCTTCGTTGTGGGATTGGCTCAACGGAGCCATGCCGATGTAGGCTACAGGAGCTGCGGTGACGAAGAACAAAAAATAGGAGAAGAAGAAGGGCTAGCCGAGTGGGATGAAGGTGCTCGCCGTCAGCGACTGAAGTGGCGCTCAGTCTGCATCCTCGCGGAAGTGCGGCGCCAACCGCAACTACCGTGCTCCACAGTGTGACGGCAAAAGGTGCAGCAACGACGGCCACGGTCGATGAACGACAAGGATGCCCTCCGGCTCAGTAGTGGGCGAGCAAAGGAGTGTCGCTTGATCCTCAGAGCGGTTGTTTTCTCCGTTTAGAACCAGCTGCAAACGAATCGATTGATTCGTAACCACACAACGATGAGGAACCTTATCTTTTGGTTCCTTTTGCATTTTGGTCCTCTCTTGTTTGGATCCACAAGTGACCAAACTTCAACATTATTGCACAAGTTTCAGCTTTCTTCTCCTCTTTCTTTCAGGGTTTATGGTGTGGAGCTGTTGGAAAATGCGAATATTTTTTGTTGGCATCCACAGTAGTTGTAGTTGCACACATAGTAGTCCTAATTGACACATGCACGGCAAAAAGAGTTGCACAATCTAGTCCGCATAGTTGCATGTGAATTGTCATGGCTTGTAATGTAATCTAGTTGCACACACATTGATATTTAGTTGGCTTGTAATGTAGTCTAGTTGCACACACATTAATGTTTAGTTGGCAGGAAGACTAGTTGCACACAAATATGCTCAGTTGACTTGTAATCTAGTCTAATTGCACACACATTGATGTTTAGTTGGCAGGACACTAGTTGCACACACATATGCGCAGTTGACGCGACAATGTAATCTAGATGCACACACATTAATATTTAGTTGGCCGGACTAGTTACACATATATGCTCAGTTGGCGCGGCAATGTAGTCTGGTTGCACACACATATGCTCAGTTGGCGCGGCAATGTAGTCTAGTTGCGCACACATTGTTTAGTTGGCAGGATTATTGGCACTCACATATGCTCAGTTGGCGCGACAATATGCACTTCTCTGCACTGCTCAGTTGGCGCGGCAAGGAGATAGTTTGGGGGTGGAGGTCTCATAGAGGAAAATTGCATGTTTACGGTGTACGAGAAAAGTTGCACATCCCTGTCAGGTAGTTGCACATCGACGGCTAGTCAGTTGCACAAAACGGGGACAAAATTGCACACAAAAAAATTCGTCATTGTTAGACGGTTGGCGGTGGCAGTATCCGAAATTGCACAACCACTGTTAGGCAGTTGGCCGATGCAGCAAACAGTGAAGCACATCCACTGGCAGGGAAAAGTTGCACATCAACTACTATGCAGTTGGTCTGGGCAACAGAAGAAGTTCACATCTCATTGGAAGGAGGTATTTTGGGGGTGAAGATACCATCATTGAAAACTGCGTGTTTACAGTATAGGAGAAAAGTTGCACATCCCTGTCAGGTAGTTGCACACCGAAGGCTAGGCAGTTGCACAAAACAAAGAGAAAATTGCACAAAAAAAATTCGTCAAAACATACCCATGCGAGATCTAGTTTCGAAGAGCACGCCGCGAGAGTTCCAAAAGTGAAAACGGATCTTAATTTCGATGCGTGGTTTCAAAGTTATGGTTTTTAAAAAATTTGACAACCCGAATTAAATGTGTTCACATCTGTTCACATGGGATCTTTATAATTACTGTTTATTATTCTGTTCAGACCTGTTCACACATATTCATTTTTTCTAATATGGATTAGGGGGACAAATTATTTCCTTTTTTAGCCGGCCACTACGGAGCGCTAGCGGGCAACCGGCCACCCGCTAGACGCGTCCCTATATATGACCCAGACCGTCTTATTAACACGGCAACTAATTAATCGGCCGGCGCGGGTCAAATATATGTCGATCCGAACGTTCGTCACTCGAGCTAGCTACATGGTCGGCGTCGCATGCATAGCATAGCATAGCGAATTAATTAGCTAATAAATCACCAGTATACTGAAACAAAATACATACAAAAGACGGTTCATGCATGAATGATTGGATGACGCATGGAAATATACAGTTTGGGGCGGACGCGGCGAACACGCATCGCACGCCGTACAGCAAAAGAATAGTGCGAATCTACGTACTTTCTCTAGAACTAATCGATGGATGTGGCACCGTACTACCTATACCATCGATCGACGGGTCAGGCGTGCGTGCGTACCTCTCGAAGACGACGGCGAGGGGGGCGACAAAGGCGGCGGGGAAGAGGTTCCGGTAGACGAGCAGGACGAGCGGGTGCATGCCGCTGTTGAGAGCCACCTTGGAGAGCAGCATGGTCACCACCGTGAGCACCTGCACCAGCACCATGCCGGCCGGCAGCGCCACCCGCTCCGCCTGCCTCCTCCTCCTCCTCCTTGCCTCATCCTCCGCCACCGCCATCACGGCCACGTCGCCGTCGTGCCCCGCCATGTCCCGAGCCAATGAGGGGCTGATCGAGATCGAGGGCTTAATTTTCTGGGACAAGAGCAAGGAGCAACGCACCGCCGAGAGGCAAGACGCAGGAGATATATAGCCAGGACGAACAAGCAAGGCGCTATGATGGTGGGATGCAGCTGGCCAGTGGCTTTGCACTGCGTACCGTACGTGTCGTTAGTTGGTTACATCTACTCCATTGGATACACACAATGTTTCAATAATCGGTCCGTGCACCTCCCTCCCCGAGAAAAAACGACATCCCCCAATCAATTGTAATATTTTGTCATACAATTGCAAAAGATTTTGCAAACAAATTAATAATAGCTGGTGATTAAATTGCTTGAAGATGAATAGGTCGAAATTTTCCTTTTTTTTTCTTGACTCTGTCCTGGCTCAAACGGGTCCAAAACTCCGAATTATTGTGCTGGACCAATAAGAGACCGCCACGTGTCCTTGCTTGCCAACATCTCACATTAAATTTGTTTTTTGAAGTTTTGGCGACTTTAGGAGAGAGTCATTGAGCGCCGCTTAAAAAGAATGACAATCGTGATCAAAACTCAGTTTGGTTTCATGCCTGAAAGGTTGATCATGAAAGTCATTTTCTTGGTAGGACAACTTATGAAGAGAGACAAGAAGCAAAAGAAAAACTTGCATATGGTGTTCATTGACTTGGAGAAGGCTTATAATAAGATACCGCAGAATGTCATGTGGTGAGCCTTGGAGAAACACAAAGTCCCAGCAAAGTACATTACCCTCATCAAGAATATGTATGAAAATGTTATGACAAGTGTTCGAACAAATGATATTGACACTGGTGACTTTCCGATTAAGATAGGACTACATCAGGGGCCGGCTTTGAGCCCTTATCTTTTTGCCTTGGTGATGGATGAGGTCTCAAGTGATATAGAAGGAGATATCCTATGGTGTATGCTTTTTGCGGACGATGTGGTGCTGGTTGACGACAGTCAGACGGGGGTAAATAGAAAGTTAGAGTTATGGAGACAAACCTTGGAATCGAAAGTGTTTAGGCTTAGTAGAACTAAAACTGAATACATGATGTGCGGTTTCAGTACTACTAGGTGTGAGGAGGAGGAGGTTAGCCTTGATGGGCAGGTGATGCCTCAGAAGGACACTATTTTATATTTGGGGTCAATACTGCAGCAGGATGAGGGTATTGATGAAGATGTGAACTACCGAATGAAAGCCGGATGGCTGAAGTGGCGCCAAGCTTCTGGTATTCTTTGTGACAAGAGAGTGCCATATAAGCTAAAAGGCAATTTCTACCGGACAGCGGTTCGACCCGCAATGCTGTATGACGCTGAGCGATGGCCGACTAAAAGGCGACATGTTCAACAGTTAGGTGCGGCGGAGATGCGTATGTTGAGATGGATGTGTGGCCACACGAGGAAGCAGGATCGAATCCGAAATGATGATATACGAGATAGAGTTGAGGTAGTATCAATTGAAGAGAAGCTTGTCCAACATGGTCTGAGATGATTTGAGCATATTCAGCACGGGCTTCTAGAAGCTCCAGTGCATAGCGGGCGGCTAAAGCGTGTAGAAAATGTCAAAAGAGGTCAGGGTAGACGGAATTTGACATAGGAGGAGTCTGTTAAGAGAGACCTGAAGGATTGAAGTATTACCAAAAAACTAGTTATGGAGAGGAGTGCGTAGAAGCTTGCTATCCATGTGCCAGAGCCATAAATGGTTGCAAAATTTTATGGGTTTTACCTTTAGCCTACCTTAATTTGTTTAAAACTAAAGGCTTTGTTGTTGTTGTTATTGTTGTCTGATGACTTTATTCTAATAACAATCAAATCGTTTACATGAGTTGGGACTAGAAAGTTAGGAGGCCGATCCTGCCATGAAAATCCGGTCCTCTCATGAGCAGCAAGGTTAGCCTCTCGAATTCCTTCATCAGCTATTGGCAATCATTTGTAACAACTGGTTCCGAAGCATGCTACTCTGATGGATTTAATATGGCTTGTACGATCTTGTTGCGATCTTACTGCCTCGGTTCTTCCTCAGCAGGTCTACCGAAAGGAATACCAAATAGCTTCTCCACACCATATCTACATAAAAACAAACACAATAATTGTTGCTAGCATGGACGGTTTCTTAGTACGGTCGGCAGCCGCTGGGTCGTCTACCACCAGTCGAGAATGGCGTGGATGCCGGTGGCAACTGAGAAGAGGAGAAGGAGCAATGATGCCGTCAAGACTCAAGAGCATGTCGCTGCAGTTTTTCCATTTGTTGGCTTCGAAGTAATAGGAGTCTCAATCTAGAGTGGCGAGGTGCGAGACGTGCATCGATGAACTCGGGTATATGTGAACCCATTTAAAAAACACATTTCTAAATTCTAAAAAATCTAAAGAAAAGTTGCACGGCTACTTTTTCATGTTTTATGTGCGTGCATAAAGTTTCACGAAAAAATAACTATTTTCGTGGCCTGTGCAAAAAAGACAAAAAATTGTGTCGTAAAGCGCTATTTAGAAACATTAAAATTTGTCTTTTTTACGGAGACAGAATGAAAAGACATTTTTTTCTCATAAAACTTTGTGCCACGCATGCACATTTACAAACATGTATGTGTGGATTTTTCTTTTAAATTTTTCATCATGTTAAAACATGTTTAAAATGCATTTTTTTAAAAATGGGTGCATATGTCCATGGATTCAGGACGTGCCGACTCAGCGAGGTGCGTGTCTATATAGAGTGACTTCGGGATGTTATGGAACCCCAAGAGGACGGCAGAATATCACCAGAGCCAGAGATCAACACGGCGGCGCTCCTCCATATATACTCGAATAATACGGCGTCCAATCTCCACATTTAGAGTACTTCGACACAATTCCTTTGGCAGGAGGGTTAATTGATCTGGCAACCTGACATGAAGGTCTTGAGGTGAGACGAGGTGGCTGGGCACGACAGTGTAGAAAATATATGTGGTCGTGCTATGAAAAAGGGGCAGACATAAGCGAGATGTGCTCCGTAGCAACAATGAAGCGGAGTGGGAGGAGGGACTAGAATAGGAGATGTTAAAAGTGACAGGCGCTTCGTATTGCCGAGGAGAAGAAAAACACATAGAAAGGCCCAACAAGATGAATAGGGCAGTAACAAAATATATCTAACTTAAGGCTAGTCATAGTGGGAGTAACTTAGGTAGTAACATAGCGCATTTCAAGAATTTTTTGTTTATGTGGCATATATTTAATGAGGAGAGAGATGTTTAGAGTAACATAATATGTTACTGTAACATAGCATTTTCCGAGAAAGAATGAGTCTATAAGCTAATAAATGAAGTCATCTATGACACTACTACTATGTTACTTTGCACTACAAAGATAGTAACTTACACTAGTGTCATATGCATGACATTAGTATAAGTTACTCCCCACTATGACCAGCCTAATTAGACATGTTGCCCCCCTCCCAGGGACATGTGGCGTTCTCCTATTGGTGTAGAGCATAATTCCCGCTGGGAGCCCAGCAGGTGAGCGGGACACAGTTCAAATAAGTAGGAAAATATTTGGAATATCTTGAGACAATTCATTTAGTTTGTATCCCTTGAGAAAGGATATTACACAATTAATACCAGTGGCACGGTTACAATCACATCCATCCACTAGTTGTTGGGGACGGTCAAGTCGACATTACTTTGCTTGCCATATCTCTCTCTTTTTGTATAGAGTGAGTTTCGAAGTGATTGTCACATTTGGGAATAGACCTTCTCGTGACGACTACCTTCCTTTAAAACTAATTTGATTGTCTCATTTGAGAATAGATCTTCATCGTGATGACTACCTTCCTTTAAAACTAATTACAGGTACTATTTTGGCTTTTCTTTAGCCAGATTTGTATGGTTGATGGAACTTGGTGTTTTTTTCTTGCTCGGCTAACCTAATAGAAATAATGACATGGCTTTGTATTGCATCTGTGTGGTTTAGTGGTTAGTGGTACCCTATGTTTGATGCATGCATACATAATAATTCAAAATTCGATCCATGCACCTCCTGCCCCACAAAAACATCAACATCCCAGTGAATTATAACATACTGTAATATAAATACAAAATATTTTGCAAAACATAATAGCTAATGATTAATGGGTCGGTCCTGGTTCAAACAAGCAAGAAATATTTGGAATATCTTGAGAGATTAATTTATTTTTTGTCCCCAAGGGACGATATTGTACAATTAATACAGATGATTAATATTGATAAAATTACTACCGGCCATTCTATGGTTGTTCGAGGCGCTCCACTTACCATCTTGGTCGCCTCTATCTTACTTTGCTCGTTCTATCTCCCTCTTTTGTATAAAGTGAGTTCCAAATTAATCGCCTCATTAGGGACTAGTCGAGTAGACCTTTGTCGTCCTGACTTTCTATTCTCAGAAAATCAAACATATGTGCTAGATTTTGGCTCTTCTTTAGCCAAATTTGTAAGGTTGATGATATTTGGTGCTTTTAGTCTTGCTCGGCCAACCTTATAGGGCTAGTAACATGTTTGCCAGCTGGCTATATATCTTTTTTTTCATCGGATCCACATGAGACGGTGCTCTGTATTGGACAATTTTAAAAGGGAAACATTTATATTCATCCGACTGATTTTTGGGGACGGGTAAGCCGCCCGCTAGGCCGTCCGATTATCAGATCAGCTCGTTCACGATGTGCGTCTTTGCATGTGGTTGGTCCCCACAACTGGCTATCGTGATTCCTTGGGCTTTCTTTTTTTTTCCACACGATTTGCTATGATTTTTTGGGCTTTCTTTCTTTTTCCACACAATTTGCTAGTGTTTTTGCTAGCTTGCTACTCTCTCCGTCTCATAATATAAGAGCGTTTTTAACGCTATGCTAATGTCAAAAATGTTCTTATATTATGAGACGGAGGGAGTACTTAAACTGCTGCTCACATAAGGCGCAATCGGCTCGGGCAAAGATGGTTAATGCTGCGACCTGCTACTCGTTCCATCGTCCGTGCGGCACTGGAGTGT